AATAAAATTTAAATGAAAATCTTAAATAATCTTAATGAATAAAAAATCATTTTAATATCAATAAAGTTTTAAAATATATGAATACCCATTGTTTGTTTAGGTTAAATTTCATTCCAGTATGCAAATTCTACTTTCTTCGTCTTTCTTTTCTAAGCATAACCGAATAACTCATAATAATAATAATAATAATATTTATATATTTAATGGTCCACAAACTCGAGAAAATTGGTGTACGTAAGACGTACGCAGTGCTTCGTACATCAGATAAGTTATAGAGAAGTTATTGGGGGTTATATTTACGTTATACCTCATGTAACCTCCCTGCAACCTACCTGACATATTACTGCGTACATACTGCACACGATATTATAAAAATTAGATCTTTTTTCTCTGTTTTCCGGGAAAAAAAATTGAAAAAAAACTTATTAAAAAACTAAAATTTGATCACAAATCGCCGTAGGAGCAGCTCATGCGGCATCAACGGAGACACGACTGCAATAAAAAAGTTACATTTATAACCCTCTCACCCATAATAGTCACATGCAATGATGGTGAACACTTTGAAAATCACATTTATTTGTCTTTCAAAATTTCCAGCTCTCTGAAAAAGTTGAAAATGACAATAATTTATTTTCAAATGAGAAATTTTCTCCCTTTTCTCACCTAATTTTTGCCATATTTCATTTAAGAGAACAATATTTGCATAAATTTTTATGTATTTACATGTCTCCCATCTAAAATTTTATATTTAAATAAATAACATTTTTTGTTTTAAACACACACATAAAAAATATATTTTACTTTTAAAAATTAATAATAGTGCTATCGTAACCGCGTGATTATGCGATTATTAGAGCCTAGAGCGTATTATCTCTATCAATTGATAGATGATATATCTTAGTGTTTATTTTTTTGGATATGCTTCACCATATTTGATGTTCACAATAGTAAAGCCATTGATACGCAAGGTCGTTAAAACAAATTTATGTTTTTTTGGTTCCTTTATTGTTCTCTTTCTCTCTGATGCTTAGCTAACCATTACGGTTAAGTGTTGTTTAGGATGATACCTTTATATTATTAGAAGATTGATTTGTTGTTTGTTTATTGGTTGGTCTTTTCCGGGCGGGTTGGCCGCCCTGTGCATTGATGTAATTAGAGAAGCATAAAAGCAAAACTACAGAAGTAAGAAAAATATTAATTTTAATTATTTTTATTAAAATATTAAAAAAATACAAATTTGCAAATTCTAGTGCGGTCGGATGCAATTAGAGTGGTGCGCATTCTCTATTGCATGGACATCTCTAAAGAAGATCTGATTGATTTTTGAGATTCAGGATATTAGGGACATGTTTACTACAACCCGGAGGAGGGGCAGAGGCCCTCGTAGGATGTTTCGCCGGAGCTGAACTAAGCTTGGGTTTCTACGGAGTTTTATATGAAGAGAAAAACAAATTAGCAAGGCCGTACGATAGAGGACAGAGGGAGCCAGAGGGACCGCACTCCACATCGGAGGTTCGACCCTCACACAGAGCACTACCAGAGATTAGTATAATTATCTCAAAATGCTGAAGTTTACAAATTTATGTGTTTATGTGACTCTTATATTTATCTGATCATGTATACATGCCAAGAAGCTTGACCTATAGCCATCCACTGTAGAGTTGCATTTCCTCACACATCGAAGTACAAACACACAACAGTGGATATTCGACACAACAGTTGATATTCGACCACCCTCGACGTGTCGATATAAGGAAAAAACATATAATTTTCTATTTTTGTGGGGTTATTAATATGCCAATCAATTTGAAATGCAAATTAATGTTTGAATTTTGTCTTGCAGGAGTACGAGTAGCTCCAGAAGAGACATATGCAAATGGCAAGCCGAACATTGCCATCCCTGACAGCAGTGGTAGCCAGTCTACCACTACTTAGTTCGATTTTGAGTTGTGACTCAGGCAGTTGGAAAGAAGAATGTGAGAGTATATGAGCTCGGAGCAAAGTGGATAGCATTAGAGGCCGAGTGCTCCAATGGATATGGGTGGCCTCAATAGCTCGTTACAGGCTTAACATAAGGAGCTTGTCAGTCATGTGATGATGATGAATAAATAGCTTCGCCATTTGTGTGAAGGCCAATTATTGTTGCAGATAGTCTGACATGGATAGAGAGTCTTGATCGTCAGATCAAGCGACATATGAGTGTGGTCAAGGAGGAGGAGGAGGAGGAGGAGGAGGAGGTGGAGGAGGAGCAAGATGATTTTGGTGATGAATATTATGATTTTTAATTTGTGTTTGATTTGCTCCCCTGATATAGGAGTTGATTGTATACTTTGTTTCATTTTCGTTTATACAAACATTGATTCTTCTGTTGTGAATTTTGATCAGTTTTAATCTGTTTATTTTTAATCAAATTTGGTATCTTTGTATAAATATCTTGAAGATTTCTTGTCCTATTATGTTGCTTGTGGTTGTTATTTGCAGGTGTGTGAAAATATGATCGTTTTATTGTTTTTTTTTTGTTTATTACAGGTTTGCGTCGAAATATTTCAAAGCTAAACGATACATGCCTCTGCTAAAACGATGCAATAACGTTAAAGCACGACGTCTCTAATTAGTGTCAGACATTGTTGACGCTGATTTTCATCAAAGTGGCCAAAGCTAATTAGCATCAACCTATTTTAATGCTATTGCACTGTTACCCCAGTATCGCCGCCAATTGCGATGTAAATTTTCAGTGACTGATTTTAATGACGCTAATTCCAATGCAAATAAAGATCCGACGCAAATGGCAACGGAAAATCAATTAGCGAAGCTCATTTTAACGTCAGTTTTTTTCCGACACTAATGGAGATCGGATAATTCCATGCAGTATATTCATTTTTTAATATTAAACCCTCTTATACATATTTGTAAACCCTTATATATAGTTGTAGGTAAATGAATTTGTAGTCCCATGCCAAATACTGAGCCATATATTGTAGTATCTTGGGTTTGGTTAAACAAGTATAGGTTAGGTAGGCAAAATTGTAGTAGTCAATTGTGGCCTGCCAGGTTGCCATTAAAAAAATAAAAAAAACAATCTTATTTCATGCATGTGACCGACCATATCTCATAAAAATAAATGATTGCAACATCACTATTAAATATGTCAATTAAGAAATTAAGCATAATTTTATTGATAATTTCTAATTATTTGAATGTTCCATCTACAGTCATAACTGCAATAGTTAATTTTAAAAATTTGCAATATTAATTTTTTTTTTTTTTTTGAAAAAAGGAAAAGGGTCATTTACATACCTACCACCCAATTTCTATCTATTAACATATCTAACACCTAAATTTTATTATTTACAGAGGATCTTTGAATTTAATATTTCCTCGATAAATATGATATTTTGAAAGGACCACTGTGAAAAAGAAATTAGTCCTATATAAAAATACATATAAATAAAAAAATAAATACATTATAAGTGTTCTATACTGAAATATTTGTGAGTTAAGGGAGTTTATTGCTTTAGCTTGTTTGATGATTTTTCGGATTAATTGAAGTTTAAAAAAATATTTAAAAATGATGTATTTATTTATTATGTGAATTTAATTAGACATTAATATTCTTTTCAAAAATTCAGAAATCTCATCAATTATTTTATCTACATTTAATGATTTTATATTTAAAATTAAAATACCCTATAATTATTAGTTTGTAAAATATATTTTCTATTTAAAATAAGCTAATTGAACTATTCCAAACGTTGAATTAAAAGTTTTCCTTATCATAGTAACTAAATTAAAAACCTTGACTAATTATTTTATTTCATAAAAAAATATCATTTCTTAAAATGTAATATGCTTAAGGGTCAGTTTAGGACGGCGGTGCGACATCGCATTGCAGTTTTGTATGTTTAAGTAAACTGCATTTTTGCAGTTTTTTCAAAACGCTGTCGCTGAAACCCGTGTTTTCCCGTCCTTCCTGGCTAGATGCGGTGACAGCTTTCTAACAGCTTAAAAAATATATATATAATAACCAACGCAGCTTTTTGAGCATCAAATTATTATTCAACAGTTTCACATATATTTTTAATAAGCCTAAATCCTCAAGCACAATAATTAAGCTGTGCCAGAAAATTAAATAAAAGTAGATTTCTCTATAAATCCATCTTATTTAATTTTCATAATATTTATAAAATTTCTTAATAATCCCATTTCATAAATGTCTCACATTAACGAAAATGGTAAACATCAAAGCCTATATACTCCCTAATAAATTTTTATGAATCAGCCAACAACCACCCTAAACTAAAGAAGATAACAACTTTGACAAGCATTCTCATTATCTTATACTTTTTGAAACCTAACAATCCCAACTTTCAATGGAGACCTAAACGCAATTAATTTTCAACTTTATCATGCATTCAATGTAATTTTAAGGAAGATTTTAGGGCTACTTTCTAAATTTTATTTCCTTTTTTACCTCCCAAAACATTAATATTAGCTTGGCTTTTGTAAAAAAAATTAGATTGAAGGGCAAAAATAGTTTGCACTAATTAAGGAAATTAGGTTACTCACGTGAGGCTTATTATTATGTAGAGTGTGCTATGTTTGTTGTGAAAGAAGAATACCCTTTATGAGCATTTATATTCTCACCAAAATACTTTAATTCATCTTCTTATTATTTTAATTTTATTTTTATTTTTATTTTTATTTTTTTTTAAGAACTTTTACAAAAGTTGAATACAATTTCTAATAATTTTAGGGCATTTACAAACATACCAGACAATTCTTACATATTTGCATCCACACCTAAAAACCTTCACATTTAGACCCACAACTCAAAAAACATCTTTTCATGCTAGATTTAAAAGACTAATGTATGTAAATATGAAAGTGCAGTTCAGAATAATGCAAGTGCCCCCAATTCTGATCAGAGCTTTGTGCTGATTGATGATGCAATTTGCAAATATTAATACACCAACATAAATAGACCCACACTGTCAAAGATGAACACAAAATGCAGACTGGAATGACTGCAAATTTATAATTTATAAAGTTAACCTCTCCAACAAATAACTTGGCGAGAAATTAAATCCCAATACCTTCAAAATTATACAACCAACCAAGTATTAATGCCTAGTTTGCTATGTTTTAATATAAGGGAAATATAATTTAATAGGACTGGGAGGTGCTAATCGCCAAGTGAAATGTGGATTAGACTTGTCTCACACTTATGAAGAAAAATAAGTTATACACATTTTTGTGAAATTCTGAAGGTTGTGATGAGGAAATCCCAAACTCTTCATTAAGAACGACGCCGCAGCAGCAAATCAAAACCAAAATTCAGGAGCGAAATTGCGCGACGCAGCTGCTCTTCCGCACTGACATTTTCCTACTCCGAGTGCGGCGCCATCGATTGGGAGAAGAAACTCTGATTTGAATCTATTGATCTTAGTCTCCATGTAATAATTAGATTAAACAGATAACAAAAGATTAGATGGTGAGATCCTTGAAGGAGTGCAAATTTCCATTTTGCGCGCTTCCACCTACAACATGATGGTTCAAGTCTTCTTTTATGGGTGCACCATATTCATTGCCGTTCGCTAAACCGACGACAGCGGAGCTCTTCAAACCGCCAAAATAAGTTGAATAAGGAAAATATCCGGCACAACGAACCTTCCAACCTACAATATAGTGGCATGTTAACAACTAAAAAGACTCGTAGCTCATTGATGCTCACAACTTGTAAAGAAAGAAACTTAGAAATAAGCTGAAATTGCAGAAAAATAAATAAGTATCTACATTGATGCTAAATAATTGAGCAAAGTGTCGAAATAATCTCCTGACAGTTTACATGAGGCCTTTTTAGTCCCGGAGTCTATAAGAGTGTCAAATTAATCCCCATGCTTTTTAAGTTGGGAATGAAATAGTTCCCCGTGGGAATAATTTCGATAAATTGACACTTCTATAGACTCTGACTAAAATAACATCCTACAAAAAGTCGGGGCTATTTTGACACTTTTCTACGAAATAATAGATGTTACATCGTTTTCTTAGAACTGTTATAAGAAGGAAGAAGAAAAAAAGTAAGATCTTACTAAGTGCAACATCTGGATTATGGAAAACTAATTCTAGTAATTTGTGTACTGAGATGCAATCCTCAAGTTTCCACACCCCAACAGGCCCCAAAGCCCCATTTCTGCTACAATAGCAGAGGAAAACACATTAGGAACTGATAAAATGTTACATGCATTTAAAAAGATAAAGATTAAATTATGTAAAATTTACAGGGGTGCTATGTTATTTGTTGAATCTTGAATTAACTGAATTGCCTCGAGCTTTTTATCAGGCTCTAGAACATACAGCATCTCCGCCGCAGCAACCCGATGCATCAAAGAATCTGCAATGACACGGTGGAGAGAAACCGAGAGAAATAAAGCAAAAGAGCGCATAAACCATGCACCAAATCACAAAGTATTTGTTGTGATTAATAATACAAACCTTTATGCTTCTCTAGAAAGCTTTTATTTACTTCTACTAAAGATTTTCCAAGTAATTGACTGAAAAACAAAACAAATAATTAAAATCCTGAATTCAAACACACAAAAAGTACTAGTACAAAATTTATAAAACCTTATATTAGTCCTTTCTGCCTCCAACACATTCCAAATAAGTTTCTCCGAATCCGTCACAGGGGCTGATGAGCTGCTGATTCTATGAAAGAACTTTATCTGGTGACAAAACAGAGCAGGTTCAGAAACATAAAATGCCATTTAACAAAGAATTTATCTGCTAATACTGTGAGTGATTTGATGAAAAACAGAGATATTTAAAGTTTTACTTAAATTTTCCTTTCTTTTGGTGTTGTCTATGGTACTTTTAAAAAACCTGAAAATTTTACTTTGTTACCACAAGCACAAATTTTGATTATGTTGCATTAAATATAGTTTATTTGCATAAGCTATTTGTTGACTGTAAAGATTAAATGCCAAGCATAATGAAACTCATATTGCTGCAAAATATGTTTCATTCTAATAGTTGGGATGATAGTTAATAAAATTATATTTTAGTTCATTATGCACATTTTCTACGTTCTACCTGCAATATATTGTCTATCGGAGCCTCAAGATATCATCCCAACCATTAGAATGAACATACATGCTTACACACAGATTAAACATGGTAATATAAATGAAGCTTATGAAACAGAAAATACCTATACAGTGTAATAACAGCCTGAAGAATTTTGGAACATAAAAAGGCATAATCTGCTTCTAAGGTGACAACAGATAAAGGCTAGTTTAACTATTATTGGACAACATATCAAAGCCAAACTTAAAACTCTAGTTCCATGTTTAACCATGTAGTTCAACAACCAAAATTAAATAAACTCAAAATATCAACATAAGCCCGTCTATGTAAATCAAATCAATTTGGAAAGCCTTTATACCATAAAATCAGAAAAATAATCTCACGAAATTGGGGTTCCATTCGTTAAAAATAAAAGATTACTCAACAACAACAACAACAACAACAACAACAGCAGCAGCAGCCTTTATACCATAAAATCAGAAAAATAATCTCACGAAATTGGGGTTCCATTCGTTAAAAATAAAAGATCTGGGAATTTATCTAGGGGATACATACCAAGCACTTGTGCGAGTCGGGGCTGTTTTCATCCAATTTAATCAACTGTTTGACCGCCTGTACACACTGTAAGGGATTAGAAGCATAAAAAAATATAAAGGATAGATAAAAAGGCGTGAAAGCGAACCCACCATGATTAAAGAATCGAGTATTATGTGTGTAAATATGAAAGTTAAGGTGTGAGATATGTAAATACATAAGAATTGTGTGCTATGTATCATAAGAATAAGAATTGTGTGCTATGTATGTAAATGGCCCTTAAAGAGTTAAACAGTAAAATATACTAAGTACATAATATTAAGCCCACAACAAATTTAACATATATATATTTTTTTCAGAAAATTTCATGTACGAGATAACAACAGCAGAAAGACTATTCCAAGAGCTTCACCTGATATCAGGAACATTTGAGATCCCATTCAACAGTCTTAAAAGATGGAAAGCAAAGTGTTGGGTGCAAAATTGCATGTAATTATAAAAGGAAACTATAAATATGAAAATTTAATTTTAAAAAACACAAATATTTATGAGTGGGAAAAAAGAAAAATTCTACAACACAAACTGAGGCAAATAAGTTGGGTTAAAATGGAAGGCCTCTAAATAAGATACCAAAAAAAAAAAAAAGCGTTATACCTGGAAGGCAAGCAAAATTTTTCGTTTGCGCATATTCAGTTCAAAAGAAAGTATGTGTGTTTCTAAAGATTGCGATGAGTTGTTCTGCAGGAGCTTCAGATATTTTGTAGCTTCTAAAAGTGGATCTTCAACCTGCAATTATCTTTTTTCATCTTAATGAAAAGTCCAAACTGAGAAATAATCGAGGGGCCATTTGGGATCACTTCTATATTGTTTTGTTCAAGTTTTGATTTGAAACAAAAAAAATATATTGAAATATTTGATTAACATATGATTGTTTTTAAAAATAATAAAAAAAACCTAAAAAAGGTTTTGAATATTTTCAAAAATATGTTAAGTTGCTTTTAGAAACATAAAATAAAAACATGTAAAAACACACCAAACAAACAAATTTAAAAAAAAAAACACAAATATAAAAACAAAAACAAAAATGATCCCAAATAATCCCTGAACATTACATAATATAAGGGCTTTTGGGAGCAAGACAAGCAGTAACCTGCAACAGTTTCTCCCCATGAGGATCTAAATCAACAGGCTTGGCATGCTGCTTTTTTCCACACTTGGACATACTACAAGAATTTGCTTCATCATTTTTTTCTTCATTTTCTTCTTTTTTTTTTTTTTTTTGCTTCATTATTTTTTCATCATTTTACTTGATTAACATATGATTGTTTTTAAAAATAATAAAAAAAACCTAAAAAAGGTTTTGAATATTTTAAAAAATATGTTAAGTTGCTTTTAGAAACATAAAATAAAAACATGTAAAAACACACCAAACAAACAATTTTTTTTTAAAAAAAACACAAATATAAAAACAAAAACAAAAATGATCCCAAATAATCCCTGAACATTACATAATATAAGAGCTTTTGGGAGCAAGACGAGCAGTAACCTGCAACAATTTCTCCCCATGAGGATCTAAATCAACAGGCTTGGCATGCTGCTTTTTTCCAGACTTGGACATACTACCAGAATTTGCTTCATCATTTTTTTCTTCAGCCTCCTTGAGGAAAAACAATGTTGATTAATTAAAATTTACATGTAAAAAACAAATACATAACAAGAAAGAGGCTAACTTTACTTTTTTAGCACGAGCTTCTGCTTTCTTTAGTTTTTGTTTATGTTTTCTTTTTTGAGCAGGAAGCATACCAGATACATCACCATCTTCTTCACCAGTCGGTTTCAATGGAGAATCATACAGTTTTATATAAGACCTGCACTATAAAAAACAAATATACATATTTCACATAACAAAAGATACATACCACTTACAAATTATAAATTTAAATATCTAACACCTAAACTTCAATTTTACAAATATGCCACCTAACCCATGCATGGAAAGGTGTACTTCACTTCAATTACTACAAAAGTTGACAAATTGTAAAATGATACACTTAAATATATGGGATAAACTAGTTGACTAAATTATCCCCTATTGTCAGACTTAACTCGGTATGAATTCTTCTCGCAAGGCCATTAATCAATGTTTGATTACTACAATTGAAGATTAGTGATGCCTTCCTTTATGAAAAGCTTCAAAAGGTAATTTACATTGAGCAGACTGCTGGGTATGATGCTCAAAGGGAGAACATGATTTTTTACGCATGAAGGCTATTTATGGAATTAATCTGAATCCTCGGGCTTGGATCCACAAATTTTGCAAAGTTCTTGCCAATATTGGTCTAATATTGGTCTCCGCAATAACACCATTGACCATTTTATCTTTGTCATTGCTAATTAATATATGTCATTCTTGCAATGTTATTTGATCACATCTTACTCATTAGGAACAATTATAATGTCATCTTGGAAGTAAAACACTACCTTAGAAATAATTTTATCACCTAAAGATCTAAGGGGGCCAAGTATTTCCTTGGAGTTAAGTTTGCCTAACAAGCAAAGGGGCATCATTAACTTAAAAGAGAATACGCTACTAATCTTCTTTAAAAGGACATATTTTGGCAACTTATACAGTAATAGGACTTTAACGACAAATGACAAAGAGCTCCTGGATATCTAGTCTCAATATCAAAAGTTTATTGATAAGTAATTTGTTTGAATATAACCAAATTTTAAATATCATTTATTGTTGGATTTGGTAGCTAACAAACACAAAACCCAGAATAGAAGTATAGAGAAGTTATTTTATACATCAAAAAAATATAAAAGATTCCTCTAAAAAATGCCGGCTATTTATTTGAGGCAACCTACTCACTTGAAAAAGTTATATATATATATATATATATATCATGGCCAGGTCCAATTCAAAGGCTGAACATAGAGATTGTATTTCCTATCAATTAGCCCAGAATATTATATTGTGAAAATTATGTCAACATCTGTATTGCCAATAAAGCCTCTTTTTTTATGAACAAGACATAAAAAAGTTGATAGTCATTTCATTGAAATGAGACTTTCCAAGAAAATTTTTAATGCTTATGTTTTCAAGTCAGAATATCTAACAAATATTTCCACCAAAAATCGGTAGGCATCTACTGATACAGCTTGAGAGAAAGTGCAGGCATATAGTGCACATTAGGAAAATAATAGTGAACAAATATATAATAAGGGGAAAAAAACAACTTGAAGAATTATGCATTTATTCCTTCATAATTGTCTTTATTCTCTATGGTTTGTTTTCTATTGTATTCATTTGATGTGATAGAAACTTTTAATTCAATGAATAACATATTATATTTTCCCACAACAAATGACATGCACAAAATCTTTCCTTTCCTATTTAGATTTTACAACTGAACAAGAAATTGGTTTCACTACATAGCTCACAAAAAAAAGTTAAGGAAATGTGAGTTATCCTAATTCCATCAATCAAGTTGAATATTTTATGTGTGAATGTGACGCTATGAACCAAGAGATTAAATGTATTTAACTACTATGTAATGTAGCCTAAAAAATATGGATATCTGCTATTTGACATCATTGTGAGTACAAAAATAGTGCTTAATTCTTCTATCATGCATAATAATTCTAAGAAAAATAAGCAAAATTCACACCGAAAAAGGTAAGAGTTAAAAATCATGATTGAACAAAAGCTAAAACAATCTAACTTATTTATGAGAAACTAAGAGACATAATAAAATATACCAACTAATTATCTAAAATAATTCAAGAATATGAACTATGAGTTTGATGTTTATAAATCTAAAATTATCCTTAGCGTAAATAGTTCAAACAACAAACATTAATCTTTCAATGAATTTTAAGTACCCTACTCTCCTCTCTGATTAAGCAATTTTAGCTCCCATTTGATCAAAGCAATTATCATTAGCCTAATCAAAACTATTTTGGATTTACAATATCCTAATTCTCCAATTGTTCTCATATATCATTGCATGAGGTGTTAAATTTTTTATGCTCAATTGATATCCATGTTTCTTTAATCTGCCCTCTTTTAATTCCTAACTGTTCAACATTAATTATAACTATGGATCCTTTGGATATATTTTCTATCATAACCACTTGGGCCGACATCATTGTAGTTCTAATAACTTAACTTTAAGACTCCATAAATTCCCTAATCATAAAATAGTCCCAGGACAAGCCTTACTTTAAAGCAAGCCCAACATTCCCTTAGGTGCCCAAGCAAGACCAGAGAAGGCCATAATGCCCCCATACAATTTTGTGCGTGTCATCACCAAGGTGCTAAAAAGAGAGGCATGTACAATGGAATTATGGGAGAGAGTAATTGAGCATAGGTTAAGACGATACAAAGATTTCTCAAAATCATTTTGGATTTATGACGGACAAGCCTACTGTAGAAATTATGCATTTATTGAGAGGTTTGATGGAGATGTATAGAGAGAGTAAGAAGGATTTGTATATGATTTTGGTTGATTTAGAAAAATCTTAAGATAAGGCTCCAAGAAAGTTCTTTGGAGAGTTCTAGAAAAAGAAGGTGTTGATATGAATTATATTCAAGTCAGTAAAGATATGTATACTTGAGTTGTTACTTGTGTTTGAACAAGAGGAGGATGGACAAAGTTTTTTCCTCTTTCAATTGGATTTTATTAGGGATGGACTTTAAGCACATGGCTTTTTGCTTAGTTATGGCTGCTCTTACTGGAGTATACCTTGACGTATGCTTTTCGCTTATGTTATCCTTGTTGTGAATAAAACTAGAGAGAGTTCAAGAAAAACTTGAATTATGGAGGTAAACATTAGAGTCTAAAGGCTATTATTTGAGTAGAGCTAAAACTGAATACATAGAATGTAATTTTAAAAGTAGTGGCAGAGTTGTAACAATGGGTGATCAAATCATTAAGAGTGAACGATTTAGATATCTCAGGTCTATTTGTTCAAATTCATGGTGATATAGATGGGGATGCTATCAATAGAATTCAAGGAGGATTCTTGAAGTGGAGGAATGCATCAGGCCTATTGTGTAATAGAAAAGTACCAGTTAGACTTAAAAGAAAAACTTTATAGAAAGTTAAGATGATCCTGAGACATGCAATGCTTTATGGCGTACAATGTTGGCCTGTAAAAGAGAAACATAAAACTAAGTTAAGTGTTGCTAAGATGAGAATGCTTAGGTGGACGAGTGGCTTTATACTTAGAGACAAAATGCAATACGAATATATCCGTGAAAAAGTTAGTGTAGTTCCAGTGACAGACAAGATTAAAGAGAGTCGTCTTAGATGGTTTGGTCACATTAAATGTCCACCATCTAAAGATCCAGTTAGTAGAGTAGATGTTTTAGATTTGAATTATGTTAAGAACGGTAGAGGTAGACCTAAAAAGGTTTGAGCATGTCGCATAAAAATGATCCTAATTTATTAGAATCAAATAAAAATATGACATTCAATAGGACACAATGGAGAAAAAAGATGTATGTAACCCAACCTCACTTAGTGTGATAAAGGCTTGTTGTTGTTTTTGTCGAAGTCATAAAAGCTTTAAGCTTTATTTAGATTAATTAAAAGTGAATTACAATTTTAAGATTTTCTATTTAATAACATTTTAGGAATTTGGAATGTAGAAAAAAAAAAATTTAATTTATTATTTTTCCAAGACCATTTTCTGATCTGGTTATCACATAATACCCTTCCCAAGACCGTGCATGTTCCATACACCAAATGACCCATTTTATCAATTTACACTCTTTAGTACTCTTTTTCATAATTAAAACATGTTTATTATATGAAATAAAATTTTTATAGAGCCTTACTTTGCTAGCAGAGCGACCATGAAGGCACATAATGCCTCAAGCGTCCAAATACCATATAACCATAAGGGCATCTTTCAATTTTAAAGAATTAAACTCCATCAGTTATATACTCTTCCATAAATCATGTTTAACTGAAAAATCCAATATAGTTAAATCTATACTAGAAGTTGGTTTCGCTTCATCTTCTAGGAATAATAATGAATAATTAATATTATACTAACAAAAATGACATTATCTACTTGATCTTTGTTCGCTTAGCTCTAAACCCTTGATCTTCTCAAGTTTTTCTTGTTATAATTTTTCTATTATTTCAGGAAAATTTTCACCCAATAAAATTTTCATATAAAAACTGCATACAATAAGGTATCAATTAGATTTATGTCACCGTTGATATGAAATTTATACCATTCTAAATCTTCAAATTAAAATTACCTGGTCCACAGTTATGTGAAAATGATGCATAATAAAAAAACTAGATTGGACATTACCAAAATGATAAACTGAAGCAAATAGACATTAAACATCAATCTATCAACATCATATTAGCCCAACAATTTAGTTGGATCTAGCATGTCAAAATAAAACAAGTTTGATAAAATGACTGAAGACAAATATTATGAATTTGTACGCACAAGTACAGTATGCATTAGAAGATTACAAAATATTATAGAGCAAAGAATGCAAGTTAAGGCACCGAGAACAAATTCTAAATGAATTGTGGAAGAACTTGGTGTTAAAATGCAGAAATTGCAAAGGACAATTTAACTGCACCTGACCTGACAAACTCAAATATACCAAATCTTTGCTTAAAATAAGAATATTTATCTTCGGCACATAAAAAAATCAAATATTGTCAAAGCCAATTGTCCAAAAACAAACATAATCTATATCAACGCAAAGTTCAACAAAATAGTCCACATGATACTTTGATACCAATGGCATTCACACATTGAAACTCTGGGAAAGGGCTAAAAGGCTAAAGCTCTATCATTAAGGGTCCGTTGGGGATGGATGCGGCTTTTATAAAGATGGTTGTAAAATTGTAATGGGAAAATAACTTTTAAGAAAACAGAAGTAAGACTTGTATCTCTTTTCCACAAAAAGTCGGATAACAACTTTCTTACACCCACCGCACTAACAAATTTAGTTGCAAAAAGTAGTTGCCCAAGTTGACTGCTAAAATAAATTAAAAAAATTCAAAAAAAAGAAAGAAAATGGAAAATAAATATAAAGTCAATTATTATCTTTCCCGCATAACTAATCTCACCAAACTTCACTTCACGACAATTCTTATAACTCTATGATCCTTCAAAAATCAAAATGGGCTCCTCACATTGACCATTTTTTCTATTTGGAATGGAAACCCCACACGGTACCACTTCATCTTCTTCCTCTAGATCGCAACAAACCACAGAAGCTCTGCCTCCATGTTTGCCTACTCCACTCGCAATACAGTCGCACTTAGGGTTACCACAAAAAAGCGACGACGAGAACGCATCTAGGGCTAGCGGGAAACAAGAAGAAGATCACAACATCTTCATTTTGCTCAAAGATAACGGGATCCTTGAGGGGAAGGCAACGACAGAATCGCGACAAACGAAGGCCTCTGAAACTCCCGTATATCTCGTTCCGCCTTCCTTGTTATGCACGCGATACAACCCAAAATGCTCGTCAGGTCTGTACCCTCTCCATGGATTACACCCAAAGCCTTCGCCGCTGTGATGGAAACCTCGCGATTAGAGCTAAGCGGAAAAAGCAAATGTGGGCTCACGATACAAAGACCCGAAACTCTCATTTTTTCCTCTTATGTTTCATATTCTTATTCTCGATCACAGCACATCGAGAAATCCTATCACATACAGTCACACTTATTTTTTGCTCTTATGCAGCCAAACCAAGCCTTCATTTTATTATTACTATTATTTTATATTACTGTAGTGTGCATTGTATTAAAAAAAATTGAGAGAGAGAAGGGAGAAATCTATGTTATACTTTTATTTTGTGTTGTCATCAATCATCGTCGGAGCTCAAAAAGATATAAATGCAAGCAAATCAGAATCACTTCATTCTTATGCAGGATAATCGAAGACGTACCTGTGTTTTCTAGACCGACATATTAGAAAATTCTCTGCGGTCGTAGTGTCTCACGACACTGACCAACGAGTCTTATAGACAGTTGTGCAAGCAGACATCTCAATGCAACCCCCTAATCAGGGATGACACCGAGAGGTTGCTGAAATTTTTGGTGATTTGAACTTGTAACCCTTATAAAATATTTCAAAATTTGGACTTATAAAATAATTTAAGATTTTATAAAATGTCCTAAAATTGAATTATTTGAAACTCTAAACTTGCAAAAATAAAATAAAATATATATTTGAAATTGGATTGTCAAGGCTTGTAAATGATTTTTAAAGCTTAAATTCTTTAAATGGCTTAAATGTGAAAGAATTGTTGGGTTTTTTTTTTTTTTTGGGGGGGGGGGGGGGGGGGGGGGGGGGGGGGTGCAAATTCTATAAAGTGGGGGTAAGCCTATGTTGAATATAAATTAAAAATTAGGAAGGTTAACCTTAAATTGAATATAAAATTTTACAAATTGAGGGGCAAGCCTAAATAAAATCTAAAACGTCATAACTCGGGGCTAAGCATAAAAATATAAATTCCATTTTTTTAATACTCAACAAAGGACGTCATATGTCTCCCTCGCCACCGAATTCTCAATATTCTTGTTAGCGAACAGAAGACGACCCCTTTCTAAATTCTAGAATCACAACACTCTTGTAAATACTTTAAGCTCTGAATAATTTCAAAATCTATACTAATTTTATGGTTCTTTCCTAAGTCAAATGAGACTTTTGAAATATGAGTTCATTTTTTAAGACGTAGATGAGTACTACAAGAGATGCTCGACTTTATATATGCTTTAAGGTGTCTCTATAAGCAAACCAATTATGCACATTTTTAAAATCTTGGATGTACCTCCTTATGTAAAATTCATATTAAACTTATGGTTTAAAAATTGTGCAAGTCTTTAAATCTTATAAAATTATTTAAAATAATTAACATATGAAATTAAATGTTTGTATGTGCTCTAACCAAAATATTAAATGTTGAAATACGAGGTTCGAAAATGTTGTGCGGGCTAATCGGGTCGCTTTATCTATAAGATAGGGTTGTAAGCCTCTCCCCATCAGCTCGATCCTCTTCGCAAAGACTGGAGTTGACGAGTCTAGTAATTTCGAAATAAACGTCCAAATCCAAAAATAAGAATTTACAAGTCCAAATCACTTAGTCCGATCCTCCTACATACAAGGATAGGAGTCAATGAGACTTATACTTTGAGAAACTTAAACTAACAAAACTAAATGTCCTCTATTCAAATATAAATACTTTAAATGTTCTAATTCCTCGATAATGACCACGTTGATCTAAGATATCAACCCGAGGTGTCAAACTTTTAAATCAAACTTCTCAAAGTAATCGATTAAAATACTCAAAGTTAAAATTAAATTGCTTAAGACTTAAAATAAATGTCTTCCGCCCTTCGCAACAGTTTGTTGAGGGTGATAAACTTTTGATCGACTCCAGCTAACAAAGAGTGAAGGTCATATCAAATGTATCAATATATTTATAATCAAAATAATTGATGTCAGCAAGAACGTGGCCCGAGTTTTCTATCCGTGTGATTCTACCGCCACATAACACCACAAAGTAGTGGTTATGACTAGAGCCCTTTGACGGGGTGATAGCTGCCAAATGACATAATTATATTACGGTCACAACAGCAACCCATATGCTCTCAATGACTTTTACCCTTTGAATAGTGAATTATAAGGGTATAGTTGATTGACATAAAACTTTCTGTTAGCTAAGGTCGACTTAAATTTGTCCATTTGACAAACATCCGCTCCAGATCTACAACGATATCTTGGACAATGCAACTCATGACTGCTGACAAGAATCTTTCTGTCAGGTTAGGTTGACTACCTCTTCTGACTAAGTAGATCAAAAACCGACGACCCGGGATGACAGAACCATGAGAACTTGATCAGGTTTTATCTCATTCCCCACCATCCGCTTTAAGCTTCAAGTGATGAGTTCTACAGCTTAAATCATGTATCTACTGCTATTACATGTTCAATTTTCAATTCTAAATGACTAGCCTTAATCAAAAAGTGTCCTCCCTTTATCGGGAGAGATAATTAACTATAAGGGTTGCGTCTATGGGAAACCTCAAACTCCAGATCAAAAAGTCATTGCAAAAATGAAGGTAAAATCTCTGGGTAGTGTCTTATCTATAAACCAATCTGTCTTCTAAAACTCGACCTTACAAAGCTCTCTCACAAAACAAAAATAAAAATAATGCAGAGAATTCATTCGGAGCAATCGAGAATTTTCGGAGCCCACAACCCACCATTAAAATTTCTTGAAAATAGATCCCCATATTGAATTGTGTCTTTATTTTGAAATTCAAGGCAGTCATAAAACTATCCCAAACAAACTCTAAAAATATAGTTATCAAAGTCATCAATAAAACATTAAAAATGACTTCTCTAAGATATACTAGCAGAGAAAGCAAAAACTATTTGAAATGGAAAACTAGATGGAGAAACTTTACCTTATAGCACCAGTGGCTGCGCTATGGAAGTACGAGTGTGAATGCAGCTGATCTTGAAACTTCAACATTGAAACATAAGCTCTCAACGTCATTTTCCTTAAGCAGTAAGAGTGGAAGTCAAACTGATCCTCAGTCATGTCCGCATAATGTTTCTCTACGGCTAAAAACTTTTTCAAGGCCCGCCCAAGATCCCCTTGGCGGAAGTAACTTTCGCCAGATGCGAGCTCATACCTTTCAAAATTCATTTGAATCATTACGAAGAACAAAAAATAATATGTTAACTCACTGCAAAATCAATATGGCTGGTACCATACCACATGCACTGCATATCATGCAGATTGTTGTGTTGATCTCCATCCTTGGTAAACAAAACAGCGGTTTTATCTGCTAATCCAACCTTCAGTAAAAGAAATTTAGTTGAACAAGAGAAAATGAAAAAGAATGCAGCAAATCTATAAACTGAGACAACGAGAAAATCCTGACGATACATTACCTGATCCGCCTCTAGCATTCTCAAAACACATTCACTATTTAAATAACGATCAGCAAGATCCATGGACCTAGCTTCATCAGCCAAGGCAGCAGCAGCTACCAGATCACCACAATCCTTTAGTATTCTTCCCTGTTCAGAAACGTGAAAAGTTTAACCAATGGTTTAGTATTCCTAAAAGTTCAAGCACAGGTCTTTATGTCGCTAGAGAAGGCATAACAGAGCTGTTCTATATTGGTCATCAACTTCACTGAACCTGTATAACTGTAAACTCAAACCTTAATAGAGTAAAGGTCAATCACAGTGGGGGTATGTTTCATGGCCTCATCGATTTTAACCAGAGCAAGGTCATGCTGCCCCCTTCTTTCATAATGCTGTAATATGGACTTCCTAAGTAAGAGCTCATATTTAAAGGAATAACAAATTGACTAACAAGTAGTCAAAACATAAGATAAAATAAAACCGAACCTGAGATAGCAAAAATAAAATCCATAGAAGTGTTGAAGGAGGTTCTTTTTTATCCCTACAATTCAGATGATATTCAGAACAAGGTTCCTAGAATATAAATTGTCAGCAAATTTATTATTCAAATACTTGCTAATTTCAAAAACAGAAAGCACATGAAGTCCCAATGGGCTTGAAGATAAACAAGAAAAGAGATCATAAACATAATATAGAACAGCAGGACTCATCCCCATGTAAGAAAAAAAAATGCAAATTTAATGAATGCCTAGTTACCTTCCAGGAAAACATCCAGATGTCTTTACTGAAGTTTCCAGTTCAACAAACAAATGCTCTAGGATATCTGCCTGCCATGGTAATTTAATGCTGAAGTTACAAGACAAAATCTATAACAACAGAGAAATAACATACATGGTGCTTTAAAAAAAAAGCTTTTGCCAAAACACACCTTTCCACAATGATCATACAGGGGACTAAGATCAGAGAACAATGAAGGAACCCCCTGCATAAAAAACACAAAAATAATAAGATGCATTTGCATGCATACCACCTAATTCCTATGTGTTTACATATCTAACATCTAAACCTCACTTCTTACATTCATACCACCCAAATCTTTCACATCATATTAAAAATACCAGCATTTTAACTATTAAAAAGTAAAATACAACTTCTTAAGCCTAGGTCAGGTGGCATATATGTAAAAATTAAATCTTAGGTGTTAGATTTATACATACATAGGAAATGAGTGATGTACGTAAATCTTCCAAATAAAAAATAGCAATAACAAGTGAATTAACTCCATAAACATATTTGCTTTTAAGGTAAATCGAGATACATGATTCACAGTACGAAAAAAAAAAACATTGCTCTGGCAAAACTACAAAACAAATGAGGGGAGGGACCTCCAAAAATAAATTGTGTTACCTTAGTAAGAAGAGGCCTAACATAGTTGTCAGCTGCATGGCAGAACTTTTCACCTTCTAAAAAATCAAGTGGAATTCTCTAATCAAACAAAAAAAACAAGTAAACTTAGCAAAAAGGGAGAACAATTGCCTCTCAAACTAATGAAGCAGAAATATCACAAACACATCATAAATCGGGAAGAGAACGTGAAAATTTAAACTAACCATGAAAAGGGCACAACTAAGAAAGAGCAAAAATAAAAAAGACTTGCATGCAATGCTGAAATAAATTGCTAATTGTACTTCAAAAATAAATCACAGGCCACATAATCAGTATGAGAGTTGCTAATAGCAAACATTTGAACATTAATGACACCATCATGCCTTCTCATTCAAATAAAGCTTCAGTTTATAAGCCCTTAATAGCCGATAACGAAATTCAATGTACTGCCAAAATTATTTAAATTAATTTTTTTCAAGACGTTCAAACTAATTTTAATTTATCAAGCCAACATCTTTTGAATCACTTGGATGAATTATCACACCAAAATTCTTCTTTTTGAACCATTCTCAATCAAAAGCGTGCAGAAAACCAACATTATTAAGAAAAAGAAAAAGATTAATCCTGGAAGTAGCACACCCCTTAAAGCAATTTACAAGAAACAGGTCATTCTAAACTTATAAAAAATGGACATGAAATAAAAAATTCTCACTGCAATGTACACATTATGATAATGCTGAATATGATGTTAGGAAAAGATCTGTGAAAAATGCTCTTGAAAACATAGCAAAATGAAGCAAGCCCCACGAGCAGTTTTCTTCACCATCGAAGAATGGTTAAAGAAGAAGCACTTTCTTAAGATGCAGTGCATGCTTTGCCCCAGATGAATACAGAGCCCAATATTTTATGCCTTAGTCCTACGCAGCTCTTATGAACGATTTTATTTTAATATTTTTGTGGGGAGCGAGAGTCTATTTTTCATTTCATGCCATGGACCCATAATTCAATCCTATCAAGTAACAACATCAAAATAGTAGTCAGGCAGAGACATGAAATGAAAAATCAAAATGGGACACAACAAACCAGAAGATAATAACATACCAACAAATCCTCTAGAACACTAGCAGTAAGAGTTTACCTTTGCAGCATATGACCAGCTATATTGCTCCGCAAGTGATTTATATAAGACATCTAACTGTTCAATTTCCTCGGTCGTATATTGACCACTTTCAGAATACAACTTTAAGCATTTTTGTAAGCCGACAAAATATCTGAGTGCAAAGGAATGCAAATAAAGGTTAATGCAACGCATAACCAGAATTAAAAGAAGTCAGGCTTTCATATAATGTGAAATTTTCTTTAATAATGACATTTGAAAAAAAGCATATAAAAGTCAACGCTTAATTCCATGCCACTTAACAAAATTTAAATAATTTTCAATCTCTGAGAGGAGTTACAAAGTGGAAAATAAATGAATGTGGATTGGATTCTCAAGCGCAAACAACAAAAAATATATATATTTCCATGCATATGCTGTTGCAAAATAGAGAATAAATTTGGGACATGTTTAGTTGTGTTATGTTTTTGTTTTCTATTTTTATTGTTGTTTTTTTTTAAAGAAACATGTTGGAATGCAAATTTATTTCCTGCTTTCATAATAGAAACAAGTGAGAACATCTCAAGTGATGTTTCCAAGATTTTTTAAAGCGCACAAATTTATTCCCAAAAAGAAAAAACAAAAACTAGCCAAAACATGTTTCCTTGCAAAAGAAACTGTTATAAAAATCAGAAAATAGGAAATAAAAAGACAATCAAACATGCCTTAATTTTCAAGTATAAAAGTATAATGAGAGAACACAAATAGCGAAGTTCATCAAATTTTGTTGCTTTAAAGCAAAATTAAATTATCCGAAAAAGCAGTGTTAAAAAGTAAAGACTTCATAAATAAGGCATATAAAAAGAGAGATGGAAACAAAAATTGAGAAATTGAATGTTTCTTTGCTGTCACAATCGATTTAATACCATAACAAGGAACAATTGATACATGGCAACATCCAGAACAGGTACATGGCAGTGCAAAGCCCCATTCTCTATCTTTTCATCTTCTCTTCTCCCTAAAGAGAACACAATGTATTGGAAAGACTTGAACCCTAAACCTAATGTAAAAGGAGATTGATAGCAAAGAGACAAGCTTTCACATAGATTAGGGCAAACAAAATATTTTACTTCACCAGCAAAAAACAACACAACCCAAATACATAAAAGATAAAATACCTCTAATTCGAGAGGTAGGCGGCCTCTCTAAAACCCTAACCCTAAAATTCAGAACAATAATCACACATATGACCTAACACTTAACATATGAAATCCTATTCATACTCCACAATAATAACTAACAAATGATGAAAATAAAAAAGTGCTATTTTTAGAGGAAGATATTCAACGTAGGGGAGTGAGCTATTTTGATAAACTTTTCAATGAGGTTTGTAAGAATATGATCGACTTTAGTAATCTTAATATAGTAATAATAATAAAACTTTTTATTTTTACCATCACATTAGGAAAAAAAAGAAGTTGAAAATGTTTTAAAGAAAACCAAGAGTGGAAAATCAGGACCTGATAATATCTCAATTAAAGTGTGGAAATATTTAGAATATTTAAGAGTGTTGTGGCTTACTAAACTCTTTAGTACTATTTTAAAAACTAAAAAGATGTTTGAGGTGTGGAGGACGAGTACTTTGGTTCTCATTTCTAAGATTAAAAGGGTGCACAAGAGTGTGCAAATTATAGAGGAATTAAGTTAATGTGTCATACTTTTAAATTATGGATAAGGATAATTGATCATAGGTTAAGTCATGATATAAGAATTTCTCATAATCAATTTAGATTTATATCGGGCAAGTCTAGCATGGAAACTATACATTTACTGAGATGTTTGATGAAGAAGTATTCATATGATTCTATTGATTTAGAAAAAGCTTATGGTAAGGTTCCAAAAGAAGTTCTTTGGAGTGTTCTATAAAAAAAAAGTGTTGATATGACTTATATTCAAGTCAACAAAGATATATACTAGAGTTGTTATTTATATTCAAATAGAAGGAGGATTGACCAACTATTTTCCTATTTCAGTTGGATTACATATGGGATCGTCTTTAAGCCCATATCTTTCTACTTAAGTTATGGATGCTCTTACTGAACATTTACAGGAGGATGTACATCGGTGTATGTTTTTTGCTAATGATATCTGTGAGTTTTGAATAACTTTCTTCTCAATGAATACATAGATAATTCATCTATAAATAGGCGTTTACAAGAGATAAAACAAGGAAAGAAATCTTCCTACAATTAAGTAATTCCTATAATTATAGAATAAACATAAATACCTATAATTAAGAATTACTATTTTTATACTATGACTAAATATAGCAAGTACTAAATAACATTAAAGTAAATAATAATGAGCGTAATTCCACAATATCCTCCTTGTAGATAAGATTAAAGAAAGAGCTCAAAAAATACTTGAATTATGTAGGTCTACATTGGAGTCTTAAGGCCTTCGTTTGAGTAGATCTAAAACTAAATACATGGCATGTAATTTTAGTGGTAGTAACTCTAGTGGCAGAGTTGTAACTATGAGTGATCAAATCATTAAAAGATGTGAATGTTTTAGATATCTCAAGTTTATTGTTCAAAATGGTGATATCGATGGGGATGTTATTAGAAGAATACAAGTTGGTTGGTTAAAGTGGTGGAATGCATCGGGCCTATTTTGTGGTAAAAAAGTAACTCTTAGACTTAAAAGGAAAATGTTTTAAGATGATGGTGGGAGTTGCAATGCTTTATGGCGTGGAATGTTGCCCTTTAAAAGAGAAGTATAAAATAAAATAAAGTGTTGATGGGATGATAATTCATAGGTGGATGAGTGGCTTGACACTTAAAGACAAATTGTGAAAGAAATCTATCTCTGAAAGGGTTTGTGTAGCTTCAGTAGGAGATAAGATTAGAGAGAATCATCTTAGATAGTTTTGGTCAAATTAAATGTTGACAATCTAAGGATCCGGCTAGGAGAGTAGATGTTTTAGATTTTATTTATATTAAGAAAGACAAAGGTAGGCCTAAAAGGATATGGGTGTATGGTATAAAAAATGATCTTGATTTACTAGAATTAAATGAAAATATTATACTCAATAGGAGTTTATGGAGAAAAATGATTCATGTAGCCGACCCCTCTCAGAGGAATAAAGGCTTCTTGTTGTTGTTGTTGAAAAACAACTAATAAATCACTAAATTACCCTTTTAGTCTTACGCTTAACATGAGTTTTCAAATACTTTTTTTTTTTTGTGAGATCGTCGTCGACATAGAGAACGAGGCGGACGATGTCATAAAAACTGGTATAAAATTACTTTGCACAAAAAAGAGACCCTGTCCTCTCCCACTCATAAATTAACTTGAGTCTAGCTCAACACTTGGCTGAAATAAGCAATGGAATGTTGACATTGTATGAGGACTGTGCCTAAGCCATAGTTTGAGGCATCTGTCTCTACAATGAATGGTTGCTTGAAATCAGGTACCGGCGGGCTTGCAACTCACCATCAAAACTTGATTGAAATAAGCGATGGGTTGTTTACACTGCATGAGAATTTCACCCAAACCATAGCCCGAGGCATCCAAAGTAAGTAAAGTATTTTGTGTTTTTTTTTTGTCCTGTGGAAGTAAAGTCTTCAAACTCTTTTTCTGGCGAGCTCCACATTAAATTAGTGGACCACAGTACATATGATGTTGTAGGCACTGGTCTAACAAAGATCTCTTTCTCAAAAGTGTACATTATCCTTTGAAATTAAATAATCTCTATACCACAAAAATAAACAGTCCTAAATGAACAAATGCATGCTTCCAAGGAAAATTGACAAGAAGACAACCTATTGCTACATACATTGCAAAATGCTGAAACTCCTTTCCATGACAAAGTGGCGGAGCACGAGCATAATCGTGACACAAAAAGCATGTGAAGATCCTTTAGATTTTTAGTATAAAGCTAAGAGATAGTTCAATGTTTTTATAAAAGGTCAATTGAGAGTCTTTTATGATCATTAACTCTCCCTCCCCCCTTCTGATGTTATAGCCCTTCTCATGCAGCAATCTCCTTTTCACCAGCACTAGTTTACTCTCATGAACAAATCTAGATAATTTTAATACAAACTCAATATAAAAGTCAATCTAGGAAGTAGAAGGGCCACAAAGACAAATATACATGTCAACATATTATATAACGTTTTGCCCATATGAGATGCACAACATCCACCAAAAATCCAAGCAATATATGGCTACCCTAGCCTCAATAAAACACAACATGGGTTGGAAGGTGAAGTGGATTTAAGAGAAGGGAGAGAAGAGGAAGAAGTATGGAACTTCATAAAATAATATTCAGGTTAGGACAAACCTGAAATTTTGAAAGTGCGAACCTACATAAAAAACCCTCTATAGCTCAAGGATCTGAATATGATTCACCCTAAACTTTTTGGATTTTAAAATATGAAGAGGGGTGAATGAGGCTTAAGTTAGAAATCAAAAAGTAAATCAATCAATTCTTAAGAAGATGAAATTGATGATGGTTACAATCCTCGCTTTCCTGTTATGAATAAAAAAAGATGGTCATTTCTGAAATGATGGAAGGTCAAATATTATGAAAAATGGCATAAGGAATCACATCCTAACTTTAGTATCTGCTATCACCTGTTATATGTGACCTATAAGAGGAAAGGAGCAGGCATGCAGAATGGCGAGGTAAGGATGATCGGGAGGATCCACCACATGTTCTCTTCAAGATATAGATCCAACACTAGAAGAAAGAAAGGCTACAACTCTCTGAATAACATAGACCCAATGCAAAAGTTCCAAAGCCGGGAAACAGCATATAAAAACTCGCACTCAAAATATCGCTAATTCTAATTAAAAATAATATTAAAAAAGGCCCACAATAGCTAGCACAGAAAAAATAGCCGGAAAATTCCTACTACAGGATTTCTGAGATTGGAGTTTTGTATCCCGTGTCCCAATAAAATAACAAAAAATGATGGGACTCGTACCCATGTCATTTTCCGGAGTAGGTAAGGTTTTGCCTTCTTCTCTGAAAATATTCAGATCCCCGTAGTATGGTGAAAAGTCAGTGATGTTAAATTTAGAATAAATATTATAATCTCTCAGTAGATCTCATAAGCACCATCATTAATCCACTTGACGATGCTAAATGGACAACTCTAGGCTTAAACT